ACTAAGGTAATCAATGGACCTCACGTGCTATTTAAAGGATATTTTTCAATCTTTCTCTTACAAGATCTCTCAGCAGCATTTAACACTGTTCACTTCTTATTCCTCCTTGCAGCAGTCTTTTCCTTTAATTTCCTCACCCTTTTTGAGTTTCCTCCTGTCTTGCCATTCTTTTTCAGTCTCTTCTGTCGGCCCGTCTTCGTTTTCAGCCATTACATTTTGGAGTTCATTAAGACTTACTACTAGCCTCTTGTCTCTTTGCACTTTATATTTTTTCTTTGGATAATTTCATCCGTATTCATGTCTTCAGTTATAACAGTGATTCTCAACCAGGGGCAGTTCTGCCCCCCTTGGCGACATTGGCAATGTCTGGAGACATTTTTGGTTGTCACACCTGAGGAAAGAATGCTACTGGCATCAAGTGGGTATAAACCAAAGAGTCTGCTAAGCATCCTACAATGCACAGGACAGTCCTCCATCACAAAGAATTATCTGCCCCAAAATGTCAATACTGCTGAAGCTGGAAAATCCTGAATTACATCAGTGACTCCCAAGTTTATTATCTACAGGAAAAATTCCTTCTTGAGCTTTAGACCTAACATGCTACCATGAACTGGATCTCAACTTTAAGAGGCAGTGTTATGCACTGGTTAAAAGGTATCTAGGGTCAGTTCATTTGGATTCAAATTCTAGATTTACCCTTATTGATTATGTGACTCTTGGCAAGTTACTCAACATCTCTGAACTTGGGTTTTGTTTTTTAAATCTATTATGTGGAGATGATAACATAATATCTATCTTATAAGACTGATATGTTGATTAAATGAGTTAAAATACATAAAGTGACTAGCACATAGTAAATATGGCAGAGATGCTCACTAATACAATTTCCTCTTTCTTGGCCCATAGCAAGACTATATTTCCCAGCCTCCCTTGAAGTTAGTTAGGACAAGTGACTGCATCCTCGGTGGGTTATGGAACAAAAGTGATGTATGCCACTTCCAGGCCTAACCATCAAATCCCCTGTGCACTCATTCATGGTCTCTCTTTCTCTTTCACATGATCTCAGAAGCAGTACCTCAAGAAGGAAGGAACTTGGATCCCTGAGTTACTGCTTGGAGGAGTATCTCTGGGATCCAAGGAGTACCACATCAGGCTATGATGTAAACAAGGAACTTTCATGTATTGTGTTAAGGCATTGGTACATAGAGAGTATTTGTCTCAGCATTTAGGTTAAATTATTCTGACAAGATGCCATTATCATTCAAAAGTGTTAAATATTAGTATTTAATATCTCAAAAATACTTGAAATGTACCATGTACCACTCTGAACTCATGATCTTTCCCCCACACTTAGACCTCTTCCAGTGCACTCCATTTCTTTGAATGGCTTCATCGCCCATTCAGTTGAACAATCTAGAAACCTAAGCACCATCCCTGGAAACTCTTAGAACTTTACTCTCATTTCAAATGAATTGCTGCACCATCTCAATTTTAGCTTCTGTATAACTTTTGAATTGCTCACCTTTCCAATAGCACTGCAGTAAACTCAGTCTGAGCTTTAAATAAAAAGACTACTGCAAAAGACTTCCTCACTGTCCCCCATGTCCACTTTTGCCCCTCTTCTGTCTATTCTCTGCCCTGCATCTAGATTTGTCTTGTCAAACGTGATTCGGTCATTTCATTGTTGTAAATCATTCAGTGACTTTCTGGTGGTCTTTACCATGGACTGAATTGTGTTCTTCCAAAATTCACATGTTAAAACCTTAGCCCACAATGTGATTACATCCAGTTACAGGGTCTTTAAGAGGTAATTATGGTTAAATGAAGTAATAAAGGTGGGTCTCTAAACCAGCAGGGCATTAGCCTTATTAAAAGAGAAAGAGTTCACACTCACGCATTCACTCTCTCTCTCTCTTTCTCCCCACCTTCCTCTTTCCCCTTCCTCCAACCCCACCATCCCTCATCACATAAAGACACAGTGAGGGAGGAGGGTATAGCTCAATTGGTAGAGTGCTTGCTTAGCATGCATGAGGTCCTGGGTTCAATCCCTAGTACCTCCAATAAAAAATAAACAAACCTAATCACCTCTCATGAAAACAAAACAAAACTAAACTGAGACACAGTGAGAAGGCAGCCATCTGCAAGCCAGGAAGAGAGCCTTCACAAGAAGCAGACCATGCTGGTACCTTGATCATGGACTGCCAGCTCCCAGAACTGTGAGAAAATTAATTTCTGTTGTTTAAGCTACCCAGTATATGGTATTTTGTTATGGCAGCCCAAGCTGAATTATATAAGTAGTCTTATTATAAAAATTAAATCATTTAGAATGGAGTGACCATCACCTATCAATTCTGCTTTATTTCATACTGTGCTCCACCCCTACCACCCATCTCTGATTCCAACCATAGCAGCCTTTAGAACTTTTCAGTTCCTTGAACACATCTTATTCTTACAATGTGGCCTTTTCACATGTTTGTCACTATATTTGGGACATGTTTTGCTTAGTTAGCCCATTCTCATTCTTCAGAGTTCAGCTGGCAAAGTTCACTTCCTGACTCTGACCCCATCTGACATCTATGCAGTTTCTCCTTCTATGCCCTCAGTGCTCATTCATTTTTCAATAAAGCACTTTTTAAAGTTTTTAATTATACACTTATTTTTGTGATTCTTGTATTAATATTTATCTTTCACTCTGGACTTATAAACTCTTGAGGACAGGAAATATATCTTGTTGCTCACTGTACACAGACAATGGCACAATGCCTGGCACATAATAAAAATTTATTGAATGAATGAAAGTTAAATGAGCATCCATAGAGAGATGTGGGCAAAACTAAGGAAGTGAACATGATACCGAAATGGGAGGCCCTAATTTTAATGTGAAGACGAAGAGAGGAACTAACAAAATTAATGAACTTCAAAGAGCTGTTAGCACTCATCTTTAGCATATAGTAGATTTTTCAATACATGAATAAATGAGGGAGGGAGTGGTAGAAGAAGAATGAGAAGTTGTGTTTAAAAGTGCAAGAAATTAATTGCAATTCAAATTTCAGAGAAACCAATAGTACATTTTCAAGAAGATGTTCATGGTCAGAAACGTCAGATGTGTCACAGAGATCAAGTATGATGAGAACTGAGAAAAGGTAACTGGAGTTGTCGTCTATGTAAATTAGTGAAAATAAAAATAAGTAGTTGAGAAATAAGTGAGAAGCAACAAGCCAGAAGCAGTGATTATGGAGTATTCTTTTGAGATGTTTAGAGGTTAACGGGTAAGAAGAGGAAGTAATAGTAGTAAGGATACCAGAGTCAAGGGAAAAATTTTCTAGGAGAGGTGGAATGAAGAGTTTTTAAGAAGGTCAGTGACGAAAAGAAAGAGAGAGACAGAGACAGAAGAGAGAACAAATGTTAGATAGACAGAAGTACCAGAGACAGTAAAACTGGATGGAATCAAAAGTGAGAGAAGTCTTGAACTCAAAATACAGGAAATACATTTCTTTTGGAATTAATTAGAAAAATAATGAATAGATGGAAATTCAAAAATGTTTTAATAAAAAGGAAGGAAGTTGAGGGAAGACATATCAAATGACCTCAGTTTCAGAGAAAATAGACATAATCACCTGCTGAAAGATGCTGATAATTTTGGATCCAAATGGGAACTTGAAAAAAGACTGTTTGGAGAATGTTTAATGGATGATATTTAAGAATTTAAAGTAAATTTTATTCAGACCCTTTTTTAAAGTACAGAAGTTAGGACAGTTCCATTTTGAAGTCCCCTGATGAAAGGAAAAGATATTAGGGACACTGGTAAATTAACAGTTGCAAAGATTTCAAGAAACTAATCTCTGAAATCTATGAATGTTATTTTATTTGGTAAAAGGAACTTGGCATATATGATTAAGGATCATGAGATGGGGAAATTATCCTGTATTTTAGTGGGCCCTAAATGTAATCACAGGTAAGAGGGAGACGGACAGACAGATTAAATCACAGAAGAGGAGAAAGCAAAGTGATGATTGTGCAGAAATTGGAGTGATGTAGCCAAAAATTGAGAAATGCAGGCATCCACTAAAAGCTGGATGATTTTTAGGTAAGGAATGGATTTTCTTCTGGAGCCTCCAAAAGAAACTAGATCTGCTTCTGATTTTAGTCATGTAAGAATCCTTTTGGACTTCAGACCTCCAGAACTGAGAATAAATTTCTATTGCTTTTAACCCATTAAATTTGTAGTAATTTGTGACAACAGCAATGGGAATAAAGGAAGCAAACCTGAAAATTCAAGACAATAAACGCATCTGTTTCTGAAGTAATTACCTGAATACACTGTAAAAGTTGGATATATTCAAGGTATGATTTCTCAGCTAGCTCCATTCTTTGAATATTATTAATACTTCCATACCCTTACCTAAATATTCATTTCGATTTCTGGTCCTAGCCTTGAGGGTATTCATTTGTGAAATGCCCATATATTTTGAGATAGTAAAGAAGGCATTTTTAAAAACCTTTTAAAGAAAATTTAATATAACACCCTTTTAAAATGTGATTGATGACTGAGATTTGTTTGTCTTAGTCCCAGTAAAACATCAGCAGTTCCTTGCTTGATCAGAGTGTAAATGTTTTCACCAAGACGGGGACCAAAGTATACTTGGTCCATATGTTTTTGTCCACCATAGCCTAGAGATGTTAGATTAAAAAATGTCAGGTTAGTTCTTGTATTTGATTGTGTTTTCACATAATTGCAGTTGGCACCTCTGGAGATAACATAAAAATAAGAACTTTCAGCAACTCTGAACAGAGTTCAGAGAGCAACTCCTACCTATTTCAAGCCTACCGCTTATCTCCCACAAGAGAAGTAACAAACTAGATATGGTTCCCTCCCCACAACCTGCTGTCTCCATCAGCTGCCTTCATTCCGGGTTGAAAAGAACTTCCCGGCAACTCATTGGCCCAAGAGAAAGAAAATTGTTGCTTAGCAACCAACTCCTGACCCCCACAGAACTAGAAAGAGGAAGCTTGTGGGCCAGCCACCTAGTTCTGCCTGTGTCCCAGTGAGGAGGAGCTGCTCAGGAGAAGATGAAGCCCATGTCCCTGCTAATAGACATGTTGATAATTCTTGAGGTCACAATTAAATGTAAGTTTTTCTGTCCTTATGGTTCTCTATGAAGGTCTTTAACATTAAGGGTGGAAGCTAATTGGAAAAATCATAAGTAACTTCACTATATTTCTAATTAACACCACTTTTGGATAAATACTTTAAATATTCAATAAGGATAAATAATAGTGATACTCTCATTTAGGACAATACCTGGGGATGACATCTGTGTGTGTGTGTGTGCATGTGTGTGTGTGTGTGTGTTTGTGTGAGGGTGGGAGGAGAAAAGATCGAGCAAATCTATCAGAAAGGCATTACAGTAATTTTTATAGAGTAGGGATATTTGAGACAGGTTGTTAAGTTTTGTTAAATCTAGAATATCATGAGGATCTAGTTCTAGAACTTTAAAGGAAAAGTAAAGGACTCAAAGAGTAGTAAAGTGCATTAATTTATATTCTTATGATTTCTTATAATCTTTCCACAGTAACAATTATACTTTCAAAGTTTCCATGATTCCTAACTAGTAAACTGTCTTAAATTGGAAATTATTTTCCAGTCTCATTTCTGTGGCCATTTATTGAGTTAATATTTTCCCCCATCCTCAGATAATTTACTCATCATGAATTCAATTTAAGAAATATTTATTTTCATTTAACCCAGAAATTCAAGGTTGGTATAACATCTGAAAGTTAGTTAATATAGCACATCACATCAATAGAATTAATGACAAAGACCACATGATCATCTCAATTGATGCAGGAAGAGCACTTGATAAAATTCAACTCCCCTTTTGTATAAAAACACTCAACTAACTAGGAGTAGAAAGGAACTTGTCAATCTAGTAAAGGGCAGCCTCAAAAAACCTGCACCTAATATATTTAATGATGAAAGACTGAATGCTTCCACCCTGTGGTACCTCTAAAGTTAGGAACAGGACAAGGATGTCCACTCTTGTCATTCCTATTCAATATTGTACTGGTGATTCTAGCCAATGCAATTAGATAAGAAAAAGAAATAAAAGACATCAAGATTGGGAAGGAAGAAAAATTATCTCTATTTACTAAAGACATGATCTTATATACAGAAAAACCTAAGGTATCTACTAAAAAACTATTAGAACCGATAAATGAGTTTAGCACAGTTGCAGGGTAAAAGATTAATAGATAAAAATCAATTATATTTCTATATTGTCACAGTGAACAAACCAAAAATGAAATTAACAATTCCATTTACAATAGCATCAAAAAGGATAAAGTACTTAGAAATAAATTTAACAAAAGGAATGCAAAGCTCATACTCTGAAAACTACAAAAATTGCTGAAAGAAATTAAAGAAAAATTTAATAAATGAAAATACTTCCCATGTTCATGGATCAGAAGACTTAATATTGTTAAGATAGCAATACTCTCCAGTTTGACTACAGATTCAATATAATCCTTATCAAAATCCCAGCTAGCTTCTTTGCAGAAATTAACAAAACAATCTGAAAATTAATATTGAAATGAACATTCTTCTTGAAAGAAAAGAATATAGTTAGAGGACTCATCAATTTCAAAACTTACTGCAAAACTGCGCTAATCAATACAGTGTGGTACTGGCATGAAGATAGACACATAGATCAATGAAATATCATTGTAAGTTCAGAAATAAATCCTGACATTTATTGTCAGTTGATTTTTGGCAAAGATGCCAACACATTGAGTTAATGGGGAAGGGAAAGAATAATCTCTCCAACATATGATGAGGATAACTAGAGAGCCATCTACCTCACACCAGCTGGACACCTACGTCACACAATATATAAAAATAATTCAGAATGTGTCAAAGACCTAAATATAACAGCTGAAGCTTTAAAACTCTTAGAAGAAAACATAGACATAAATCTTTGTGACCTGGATTAGGCAATGATTTCTTACATATGCTACCAGAAGCTCAAGCAAAAGAAAGAAAAATACATAAACTGGACATCATCAAAATTAATCACGTTTCTGCTTCAAAGGGCATCATCAAGAAACTGAAAAGATAACTCACAGAATGGGAAAAAAAGTTTGCAAATCATACATTCATTAAGGGTTTAGTATTCAGAATATATAAATGACTCTTACAACTCATCAACAAAATGACAAACAACTCAGTTTTTTTAATTGGTGAAGGAATTGGATAGATGTTCCTCCAAAGAAAACATGCAAATAACCATCAAAATGCATGAAAAGATATTCAACATTATTGGTTATTAGGAAAATTCAAATCAAAACCACAGTGAAATAATATATCACACCTATTAGGATGGCTGTAATAAAAAAGGAAAATAACAAGATTGGGCAATGATGTAGAGAAATAGGAACCCTCATACACTTCTAGTGAGAATGTGAAATGGTAACAGCCACTGTGGAAAACAGTTTGATATTTCCTCAAAAAGTTAAATTTATAATTATTGTGTGACCCATCAATTCCACTACTAGGAATATACTCAAGAGAAATGAAAGGCTATGTCCACACTGAAAATTTGTATACAAGTGTTTATAAAAGCATTATTTATTACAGTTAAAAGGTGGAAACAACCTAGATAATGGGTGAGTAGATAAACAAGTGGTGGTATGTACATACAATGGAATGTCACTCAACCATGAAAAAGGAGTGAAGTACATACTACAAGTTGGATGAACCTCAAAAGCATTATGATAAGTGAAAGACGCCAACTACAAAATGTTGTGGGCAACAATGGTGGGCCAGTGATGTGGGTTGGTAAAAGAATTCACCAAAGGCAAAGGACAGGAGAAGAGGAAAGAGGTTTATTAGGTTGCGCTGCCATAGACAACAGCAGGCCACCCAGGCAAGAGGTGCCTGAGTAAGTGCTGCAGAGAAGTGTGCAGGGTCTTTTACTGGGGGGAGAGGGCTTTGCACACAAGGAGTGGATCAATTTGTGTACAGGTACGTGATTGGTTGTAAGATTTGTCAGGGACTTCTCTGAACACTAGGTTTTACAACTTTGTTAAGGGCAGGCTGTGAGGCCTAGGCCTATCTCCTGGGGCGAAGAGTCCTGCTAGGGCAAACACATATCCAGAGATGTTTTTATCCTGCAAAAATGCAGGTATGCGGAGTGGTCCTGCAGTGGGGAGTCGGGGTTAAGGTGTCGATGGCTCCAGGCACACAGAGAGTGGGGATTTTTATAATTTCAGAGTGGCTTCAGAAAGTGCCAGCAGGCCCCACAAAAAGGCCACCTATTATGTGATTTTTATTATATGTAATATATATGAAATATACAGCATAGGCAAATCCAGAGACAGAAAGCAGATTAGTGGTTGCCAGTGGATAGGGGAAAAGATACTGGAGAATTATATAATGAATAGAGAGTATACTTCTGGGCTAATGAAAAAGTTTTGAAACTAAAAATAGTTGGTGGTTGTGAATGCACTAAATGTCACTTATTTGTACCCTTTAAAATGGCTACTTCTATGTTATGAATTTCACCTCAGTTTTTTTAAAAGGGGTACAGTGCTTTGAAAAACAGTCTTGTAGTTCCTCAAAAGATTAAACATGGAATTACTATATAATCCAGAATTACACCTCTAGGTATATACCCAAGGGAATTGAAAACTTATTTCTATGCAAAAATGTGTGCACGTATGGCACATTATTCATAGTAGCCAAAAAATAGGGGAAAAACTAATAACCACCAAGTGATGAATGAATAAATGAAAGTTGGAATACATCCAATACAATATTGGATGATTGTTGAAAATATTACACTAAACAAAAGAAACTAGACACAAAAGGCCACATGTTGCATGAGGCCACAGAGACAAAAAGTAGTTTACTAGGGCTGGAAAGTGTAGAGGAATTTGGGAGATTTTGGCTAAGGGATACAAGATTATTTGGGGGGTAGTGAAAATGTTCTAAAATTGTAGTGATTGTTGCACAAATCTGCGAATATCCTAAAAACCACTGAATTGTAATGGAAAAAAAAGAAATATTTAATAAAAGTTATGTGCTAGGAGTATGGGAAATACAGAATATCTAAGACATAATTCTTATCCTTGAGCAGCTTAGAGTCTAGAAGAAAAAAAAAAGTAAACAAGTGAATAAATTGGAAAGTGTTGCAGGTATTAAAGTAGAGGCATTTGTAAAGTACTGTAGGGCACAAATTGGGAAATGGCCAATTGTACCAGTGTGTGAAGGGGTCAGATGGAGTCAAAAAGGAAATGGCATAAAATAAATCTTGAAAGATTAGGGAGAGTTTGCTAGGCAGGCAAAAGAGAAAAAGGACATTTCAGACCTGGTAAAGGGAAAAAAGACAGGGAGAAATAAAAGAACATGGTCTATAAATAAGTATGCAACTTTGCTGTGGTGTAAGCCATACGATGGAATACAGCAATTCATGAGGCTGGAATGGTAGGCAGGGGCCATGTGTGATAGGCTGTGAAGTTTGGGCTTGCTCCTGGGAGCAGTGGGGAGGCATTTAACAGTTTACTTATTAAAGAACATGAATAGAATTGTGCTTTTAAAAACGGCTTTGGTAATAGAGATGTGGATAATTCTGATGACAGTATAACCAGACTATTGAATGGCCCAAACAAGAAACAACTTAAACCACAGCAATGGCAGTGGGGACTGAGGAGCAGACGGATGACAAGACTGAAGAGAACCATGTTCATAGTCCAGAGTGAGAGTGTGACAGGAAGATGGGAATGGCTAGCTGTGCCAGCTGTCAGAAAGTAAGGAAGTGAGGTAAGGGCCAACAGTGACTACTGGATTTAACAGCTGGAGAACTTTAACATATCCAGAACAGTTTTCTCAAAGAAACAAGGACAAAACCTTATTTCAACTGGTAGAAGTGAACAGCAGGAGACTAAGTAGAGACAGATGAGTACAGAGCTCTTCCTGGATTATGACACTTTGCAGGGTCAGACAAGTTTTCAACAGATCATTTATTGACCACAGGTGTACAGAGATCCAGGGAATTAGTTAATGGGGCAGAAGAAGTTGCTTTACAAGCTAGTGCTAAAAGACCTAAGATTCATACATAAAATCAGCCCCTA